AGTCGATTACCTATAGTCCATGGCATTTTGAGATTCCCAGAGATGTCTGCTCGGAGATAGACACGTGCTCGGGGAAAGCGAGCCCTGCCAGAACGACGATAGCTGCCGGGAGCTGCATAATTTTGTAGAGTAACGTCCGGACTATCTACGCATGCAAAAGAGTTACTAACATTGTATGTTAGTTTTCTGAGAACGGAGCTGGTTTTCCAAAGATTCTCTGGAAACACGATCTCTGGAATTATTTCAAAAGTCGCTTCCGCTTGTGAAAAGTTCTGTTCAAGTCTTGGCTATTGAACAGCGAAAATCGCAGGTCTGTATCTCATTCCTATCAAAAGTTATTCAAAAAGTGGCACCTGGCACTGTATTTTGGTATGGATAGTAGTTTTGATCGAACAGAGCGTTTTTCCGTTCCAGCGGAAAATAACTTATCTCTGCATTCCAATCCATCGTTACCGCTACCTCAGCAACCCAAGACGCGTCCTAACCAACGAGAAAGTACTGATGCGGTCCAAACTGAAACTTCTATTGTTCTTACTTTCAACGAATACGAATGGAAGAGTGCTTTTAGTCGCACTCATCAGAAAATAAAACCTTATTGGACTGATATGTTTTATGAAAAATTGACATCATGCGGATTTAAATGTCCAGTGAAATTTAAAACACCGTATATTAAAAAGGGAACACGGAAGCAGGCGTGTAGTTTGTTTTGCTGTTACGCTATGTGCAGTATTAGCATCTGCACCCGAAAATATCAAATAATTTCAAAACAGGAACCGGAAGAGAATGCATCGGTGCTCTTTCTTGTACGAATTACTGGCAAGGATAATCATAATATTAACACTGAAATATCTGCACGTCAACTTCGTGGTAAAAGTCGCATCCTTGTCGGTATGTACTCCTAATGTTCAGTTCGGAAACGAATTTTAAATTAATAAGTTTTATATATTTTAGGAAAGCAAGAGAACGAAATCGGTCCGCTGGGAGTTTTTCCTGAACACGTCAATGCTAATGAGAGTTTGCTCGCTGCGGGCAACTACACAGAATGTGAAATAATTGAAACTCTCAAGAAAGCCGCATATGATTATAGAAAAAAGATGCATGTTGATGAAGACATTTTCAAAGAATGTCGAATTATCGCTCGTGCGTATCTTGCGGCGGATGTGACATCCACTAGTGTTAAAGGTATGCCAAAGTCGTACCAGAGAAAACCTTGTTATTAATTATATTTTCTGCTTTTATCCAAAGGATACGTTCACGTCGTTGATGAAACGCCGATTCGTGTGCATCTGTTTTCAGAATCCCAAATCGAACGATATATCAGGTACTGTATCACAGAGAAATATTCTTACGTTCATATCGATGCTACAGGAAGTGTGCGAAAAAAAATGCTGGAGCAAAAACTTTTCTTGCTGTATGCGCTTGTTTTTAGAGATGGGAATGACTCGAATGATACCATCCCGCTTGCTCATGGTGCTCTTGCCGATCACACTGTTTCGAGCATTAGTTATTTCTTCGGAAACGTGGCGCAAAGTATTTGTTAGTACTAAATTCCTCTCACAGGAGATTAGAGCTGACCCGAATTCATTTCTCCTGAACTTACTACTGTATTCCTGTTTTGGAGCTGGAAAATGAGGATATTTAGAATAACTTGGATGACTTACCCCTGATTTGTGCTGATTATGAAAGATTATATTTTAGTATTTTATTAAAATGGGGTGAAGAAGAAGATTACAAACACAGATTAGCACAACGTAAATTGATGTTAACTATACGACACTTCTGTACCAACTGAATAGAAAAAAGATATATATTCTTATATAGTTATCTGATCTCTTTATAATGTGTTTAGTATAAGCATATAGACAAAGAAAGTTCATTCGTTAAATTAGTTCATTAACTTTCGTTTTCTCAGCACTCACCCCAGCGGGAAATGATTATCGATGGTTACACACTACGATGGCCCAAATTTCAAATTCGAAGTCTACTATTTCAAGGGTGAAGAAGAAATTGAATAGCTGTATTGCAATGCTTGCTATTGTCGGTGAAAAAAAAGAATGGACTCGGATGTTTCTTGAATAACGTTGGGCACAAATGTGGTAGACGCTTGCGGTCTTCACTAATAGAGAGCAAGGACCTAACTGCATCTTTTCATAATGAAAGTTATTTTCAAAATCTTTTCTTAAAGCAGGGTTTTCAGGAGATCATTGGAAAATCAAGTCATTGCTCAAAAACTTGCCCAAGTAATTCGAGTCCAATTTTGTTATGTAGGATTCTTTCGGATTCAGGTATCGCATGTCCACCAAGAACACTCGCATTGTCTGATCTTTTTAACAGTTTCTTGATTTGTGGGTGACGTTTCGCAAACTCCGTTGCTATTTGATGACCGCCGGATAATGTATCCAACTCGTTTTGGAGACATCGTGTGAGAGCTACCATGTATGTTTCCGTTTTATAGCTGTCTAAAAGATCGAGAACTTTCACGAATAGAAGAGAAGATCTCCAAAAAATATTACCTGCTATTTCTGGGTTATTCATCGTGAATGATCCAACAAGTACAGACATGCCCTTTTTGCCAAAATATTTTGATTGCTCTTCTCTATGCTCTGTAGGTAGTATTTTTTGAGCCCAATCTATAGTCATGTAGGCAATCATCTGACAAATTTTTAATATCATTTGCTTTGGTGGTATTTTGCTGGACTGAACGAACTATATGGCGCGATTGCTCAACAATAGCATCGCGGGACTGTTCAAAATCATACGTCAATTCGTCTTTGGTTTCTTTATCAGTTACGATGGTAATATTTTCTTTTTTTTAGAAATATTTTCTCTTGACGATATGAGGAACTTTTGACAAATAAATTCTAATTTTTCCCAGGCGTCTCGCGCTGCTACAGGAAAATCGTCTAAACCGGACAAAGCTTTTTGTTCGGATGCGTTCAGATTTTCGAGAATATAAAATAATTTTCGATCACTTAGTGGTGTTCATTGTGAAGACCCGGTGGTGTTCATTAGTGGTTTCACAATGCCATTTGTATTGAACAATAACGTGACTTCTTTTTACTTGGAGAACTTGTTTGGGGATGGTAAGAATTTCACCGCTGTCTAGTTCAAGTTCTCCATATCCTCACGGTATAGATACCAACATTTCAGTTTCTACCAGCCAAGTAATGAAGTGTTCCGTTAACGCTGGCGAGATACGAGAGCGTATAACGCATTTCTGGGGTTCTAAATGTAACGGTGTAGTCGTGGACAACCGTAAATCTTTCGCTAGGTTCACAGCATGTCGAGTACAGCCAAATTTCTCCTGTATCTCATTGTATGTCCAGTCTTCAGGTAACAATGACAAAATTCGAATTTTTTCCTGGTATGGCAATTTCTGTTGATCATACTGACGATACATCTCGATGAGGTAACTGACCATCGCGCTATTAACCTCTAATGTTGATTTTTGACGGTGTGCTCTTTCAAACATCGTATCTAAACCCGAAAGATTCACTAGTGTTTCACCCTGACCGGGTGCCACCGACTCGGCTAGATTTGATACTATTTCTTGAATACTTTTCTTGCATGTTGAAGTTAGTCTGCGAATACTACTGCCGGACTGAGTCTAAAGTGGCATCGTTGTCTGGCTTTTGAGAGGACTGAGATTCGCCGCACTCAAAATTCTGTTAGCCGATTCTTTTGTATTGATTCGTTTTTCGAATGTTACGTTCGAATCCGGTAAAGATGGTACGGTATTAGAGTCATCGTATCCGCTGTTTCACTTATTGTCCGATGTTCATAGCATAAACGATTTTGTGATGTTCATAGCATAAATTTGGTCAGTTTGTAGAGAACACCTTCACAATTTCAATTAGTTTTGAAGTTGATTAATTGATAACTCTGTCAGTACTTGACCAACGAGTTTTTTATTGCATATCCATACCGCCGACGGTGTTCTCTACAAACTGACCAAATTTGAGGGCATGTTTGGGGGAGCACACTGCCTGCCGCTTAAATAGTATATTCTCCACTTACCAAAACATCTGGCAATGCTGCAATTACCCGTTACTGAATATAAACAACAGCTCTCCAATTTTTCTAACTAAAGGAGGAAACTTATTCTAACTATGATCGTTCTTTAGTATTATTTCTTACTTGAAAAAAAGTAGTAGTTTGTAATCCGTTTCGGTCTTCTGTTATAATAGTAGTTACTGCGTCCGGTACTATTAAAACCATTCGATTGTCTTTGTTCATGTAGGTGTCATACCCAAGTACCTTTTCCATCGGTTTTTGGGATGTTTCACGTTTAAACTTCAACTCTGCCAATGTCAATTCATCTTCGTCTGACATTTCTGATGACTTCAAACCTTTTGAAACTTGTTTGAGTAGGAGCTGTTGAAACTCTTCAGTTTCGTTTTGTCGAGTCAAAGCTTCTATCACTGCTCGCTCAGAATCGATCCCTTGTCGAATCTCCCATTCTCGTATTTACTGTTGATTACGAGCTGCACTTGCCTTTTCTAATTCGGCGCATTCTTGAATACATCGCTGACGATGCTCTTCCGCTTCCAGATCTTCTTGATGCTTCTTATTTGCAATCGTTTTGAGAGCTGCTTCTTCCGCATTAGCATATTATTGATCGCTTTCTCTTAAAACTTCTTGAAGATATGAAAATATAAGTTCAAAAACATGTAACTTTAATTAATAATGTTCAAAGACTGGGATTTGCTAACTGCATATGACGGCATATGTGCAGGAGAAAATCGGCAAAGTTATAGAATTTACAAGGAAAGCCTTAAATGAATTTCTTCTTATTTCTGTGGCTTTGAGCTGACAATGAAAATTTAGGACTTTTCTTGTAAATTCTATAACTTCGCAGATAGATCACGTAGAGGTTGGATATGTCTCATTTTGATCATAATTTCATGGGCTACAATCGTGACTTAAAGGTAAAGTTTCGGAGATTTTTCGAGTTTTCTGGAAAACCAATTTTCTAGAAAATCGCTCTAGAAAGGTCTAGC